TTAATATTTTAATTGAGGCAGTTATGCTAGTAAAGAGAGTGATTAAAGAGTGAAAGTAAAATGAAAAGAGCAAGAAAATGGAGAAGCAGGTAAAAATCAAAATGAATTTAGCAAATTCGCTTGGTTTGTTAAATCAGCTTGAGACTTGAGACAACCAAAATAAATTTGAATGGAAAGCATACCTGATGTCACAAGAATGAGGAAAAGACGAAGAAAAAGTTCTTATTTGTCGTGGAGTTCTACAAGTTCTTGGCCTCTGTTTATTTTGTTCTCTTGGGAGGAGAAAGAGAAACAAATACTTCTAGACTGTACTTCTAAGTTCTAGGCTGCTCTTTAATCTTATGACACATTACCATTTTGCCCTTCAATCATATAAGATTTTTCAGAATTGCCCTTGGTCATCCTGGTTGGCTTCACTCTTCTATATAATTATATACTATATCTTAGAAGAGTCTAGGATTTACTACCATTGTTCCAATTAAATCATTACAAATGTTCAATACTTACTATATAAAATATACAAGTGGGCCCCACCTCCTTCCCCTTAAATAATATTTTTCAACCTTATCATGGTAAAAGTTGAATTTATTATCCTTTTCATTTAATTTTATATGATATTTTTTTTTCTATAAAATCATTATATATGTTTTTTACATTTAAATTTCAAAAACATTATAATTTAACTTTAAAGATTTTATTTTATCAAAATCTTGTACATTGAAATATATAGTTATGAATTTAAAATATTTTTAAAATCATATAAAAATTTCAATAACTTCTCAAATTCCATAATATAACACTTAAATACTACATATTATATATTAAATACTACACTATAAATGACTTAAATACTCCATATTATCTATTACAATAATTAACAATTATTTGACACTTTAAATTCTATCAATGCCATATAAATTAGGATAAAAAACCTAACATATAATATTTAAATATATTTAAAAATACTTTAAGTAATACTCTACATTACAATAATTAACAGCTTAATTATTTAAATATTTTTTTAATAATATATGTTATTTGCCATGTCCCAATTTATGTGGCATTAATTGATAGATTTGTTGGAGTCGAGAGATTTATTTTGTTAATTATTGTAATTTATAATTTATTTTTCGTCAATTTCGTCGACTATTTTTTTTATTAATTATTGTAATTTATTGTTTCTTTTTCGTCAATTTCAAACAATATATGTTGTTAATTGATAGATTTTTTGGAGTAGGCCTTTTTTTTATTATTAATTATTGTAATTTATTGTTTCTTTTTCGTCAATTTCAAACAATATATGTTGTTAATTGATAGATTTTTTGGAGTAGGCCTTTTTTTTATTATTAATTATTGTAATTTATTGTTTCTTTTTCGTCAATTTCAAACAATATATGTTGTTAATTGATAGATTTTTTGGAGTAGGCCTTTTTTTTATTATTAATTATTGTAATTTATTGTTTCTTTTTCGTCAATTTCAAACAATATATGTTGTTAATTGATAGATTTTTTGGAGTAGGCCTTTTTTTTATTATTAATTATTGTAATTTATTGTTTCTTTTTCGTCAATTTCAAACAATATATGTTGTTAATTGATAGATTTTTTGGAGTAGGCCTTTTTTTTATTATTAATTATTGTAATTTATTGTTTCTTTTTCGTCAATTTCAAACAATATATGTTGTTAATTGATAGAATACTTTTAATGTAATTTTTTTAAAAAAATATGTGTGACTGTCCATGTCCCAATTTATGTGGCACATGTAAAGTTTTGACAATTAACCAAAATTTTAATACATTTAAAAAAATATTTTTAAGTCGTTAAATTTTAAGTAATAAGTAATTTAAATTGTTGTATTATTTATTACAATTTATAATGCTTTTAAAGTAGTTTAAATATTGTACTATTTATTATGATTTATAACACTTTTTTTTAAAATTTATGTCATATTATGGAATTTGAGAAGTTATTGAAATTTTTATATGATTTTAAAAATATTTTAAATTGTTAGCTATTGTGATTTGTAGTACTTTTTTTTAACATAATTTTGAAAGTAATATTTATTACTCTATTTGTTCTAATTTATGTGGCACATGCAGAATTTTAAATATTAACCCTTTTTTATGTCTCTTTAATATATTAAGTTGTTAATTATTGTATTTTATAGTACATTTTGAACCTAATTTTTTAATAATATATGTTATTTGCCATGTCCCAATTTATGTGGCATTAATTGATAGATTTGTTGGAGTCGAGAGATTTATTTTGTTAATTATTGTAATTTATAGTTTCTTTTTCGTCAATTTCAAACAATATATGTTTATCATATAATCCATTTTATGTGGTACCAATAGAATTTAGAGAGTCAATTAAATTTTGTATATAAGTTTTAAATAATGAAGCTGTTAATTATTGTAATGTATAGTATTACTTATATTATTTTTAAATATATTTAAATATTATATGTTAGGTTTTTTATCCTAATTTATATGGCATTGATAGAATTTAAGTTCAAAATGTACTAAAAAATACAATAATTAACAACTTAATATATTAAAGAGACATATAAAAAATGGTTAATATTTGAAATTCTGCGTGTGCCACATAAATTAGAACAAACAGAGTAATAAATATTTTTTTCAAAATTATGTTAAAAAAAAGTACTACAAATCACAATAGCTAACAATTTAAAATATTTTTAAAATCATATAAAAATTTCAATAACTTCTCAAATTCCATAATATGACATAAATTAAAATTTAAAAAAAAATATATATTGGGCCCCGTGCTGGCATGGGGTCCTATATCTAGTAGAAAAATAAGAGAGTTGATTCTCATCATCATATGATATATTACATTAATTATATTTTAGGGATTATTAATTTAAATGTAAAATTTCAAACCTTTGAATTTAAGCGTTACATTCAAAATAATTAGTAATTCATTGTGAAATTGTATAGAAATATAATACCCCATCATTTCAAATTAATTATCTTTATTCACCTTTTGAGTGTGGATTAAACAATCTTCACAACTATATTGAATTGAATCAACTCAATAATTTATATTTTAAAATATATCTAGATATTTCAAAACTATTAAAAAAATACAAATTGTAACCTTTTCTCATAGCAATTTAATGAAAAATATATGTTACATTGTAGATCAAAGTTTATATGATTGATTTTTGAAAAACGATCATGACAGTTAATTTGAGATAGAGAAATATTATTTCTATCTAATTAACGTACACTATCACATTTTAATTAGCAAATACATTTTTTAAGGGAAAATTGTATGAAATAACAAACCATTAATTCAAATTAAATGTTATAGCCATAGTTTATTTTAATTCTAATTCACAGCAAATATCCCCTTTTTTCGCCATCTGATTTAATATACAATTAGCCATTTTCGGTATACAATTAGTCATTTTATACATTTCGATATAAAATGTATAAAATGCGTTTGTGTTTGTATAAAGCGAGGGAAAAGTATATATACAAATACAAATACATATATTTTCGCCCTATACACTTATAATTATACAAATACAGATCTTATTATACAAATTACAATGTATAAATGAATTTATACAAAACTAAATAATTTGTGTAAAATTGAATGTTTGTAACAAATTATACAAATCAAAAGCTCCATAGCAAACATAAAATTTGTTATGAAGCGCAATTATGCAAACTATAGCTATAACATACAAATATGATTATTATGTTTGCGAAAGTTGCTTTTTTTTAATCACACACACTATCACAATTTTGTATATCCTAAAATAAAAAAAAATGGGTTAAAATGTTTTAACTTTGTTTATTTTAAAAAGAAAAAAATGAATTTTTAGTTATAAAATAATTGTGAAAGGGAAAAGATTTTTTTTAAAAAGAAAAAACAATATGATTCACGTCATCTTTTATATTGGCAATCAGAAGAATATATAGGTGCAAAGATGAGACACGTGGATCCCTCATTTCAATTGCTACTTACCTGCCACTCTGTAGAAGTCATTATTTTAGTTGTGAAATTACAAATACACCCTTGGTCGTCCTCTCTTCTCATTTCGCCTGTGTGAATATTTTCTTCTTTTATAATATTTTCAAGTGTTAAATGCTTTTCTTACTTTACCGTAAATTACATGAGAAAAGTTAGAAAACACTGTCATAGATGTGCTCATAGCAGTACTTATATACAACCTTTATTGAACTAAAACAAACGTTTAAAGATGTTTATAATTTATGTGTTCATTTCGTTTCTCTTAATCAGTTGAATTATTTGATCCTTTAAAATAATTATTTTGCATTTAAGTAATGAAAAGAATTCTCAGTGGAACATCTAAATTAACTCATGTATTATGATAAATGCCACTTTTTTTATTGTGACCTAAAAAAATTCTCACATAATGTCAAGTTAAATTTCTGGTACTTGGGTGTGGGTGTTCGATACGACTACGAATCTACATATCAAATCCTTCATGATCTAATTTTTAAAATTCGAAAATATAAATCCATATATGGATATGGGTACGGAAAATCGCCTAAATATAATTAAAATATCTAAAAATAGGATCATAAAACCTACATTATGAGATATTATGTGGAGAACTTGAGGAGGCTCTTGGAAGAAGAATAAAAGAAAATTAGTAACATAGAAATTTCTATATAAAAGATATTCTATTTTCTTCAAACTTCACTTTATCTTTTGTATTGATTATACTGTCCAGACTTTCTCTATCAATTTTGATAGAAATATCCAAAATTAGTTGACCAAATTGGACACAGAATCCACATCCACACTTATGTCGACACAGATAAGTAAAGAGTGCAATCAACTTAGCTTAAAAGTATATAAAACTGAGATTTTAATTCTCAACAACGAAAACAAAGGCCACTTTCTTATTGTGACAGTTTCTCAAACATCTAGCATGCATTAGAAATTTCTACTAAATAAGATCAATGTAAGAAACAAATAACAATCAAATAGAAGGCCACAATCATGAAGTACAATTAATCAATTATTGATATGTGATGCAATCATCTAACAATATCACTCATGTTACATAAGGAAGTTTCTAAGATTATTTTCCCAAAAAAAAAAAAAAAAAGAAGCCAAAGAGCATGCATATATGCAAAATAATGTTGAAGCTACTGGTAAGGGTAGTATAGAGAAGGCACGAATGAAACACTAAGCAGACAAATAGAACGGAGAAAAAAAGTCTAGATACAATTGTCCGACACCATTCTTTCCTGATAGTGATATATGTAACCCAAATAAGAATTGAAATCAAAAGAAAATGCATGATAAAGTATAATTACACTAAAAGCTCAAAAGTAGAAACTAAAAATTAAAAAACAGTTATGGTAAATCAAAAACCCAAATCAGAAATCGAATGATCTTATTATTTTGTAACGAAGTGAATTAAACTGTAATAACTGATTGAGTTGTTACAAATGAATTTGGGTCTAATTTTGAAGTATATGAGGTATGTGGAGAAAGTCAAAATACAAAAATTCTACAGACAGATGCATCAAACTTACCTATATATAGAATAAAATATTTGGATGAGCTCTAGATGTTTCTGTTCTTAAGAACTGATTCTTCTAGTAGAGTGGAGAAGAGAAGAGACTTGCTTGCGATCCTTCTAGACTTCCATTCCATAGTGATGTAATTATTATTTTGCCCTTGACTGAAGTTGAATTTTCAAAAATGCCAGTGGTCGTCCATCACTTGGCTTTTCTATATAGTAGAAATATATATCTAAATACTAGTCATTCTTAATCAAGGGCAAAGTCGTCATTTCACCAGATGAGATCTTTTCAAGTTTCAGTCCTTCAGGGGCAAGCCTGTCATTTTCTCAAAAGGATATCATCCAAAAGGGTGAATTCGTAATCTCATTTTGCCTTTCTTCCCTGAGCTGCCGCGTGTTTTTGCGCTCCCATCTCCAGCGACGTACGTGTTGAATCTGTGTTTCTTTACGTTAATGGGAACGGAAAGGGCTCTGTTTATTTCCATGGAAAAACAACATATTCATTTTGTGCTCAAATCAACGATTTAGAGATTCGCTATTACGAACAAACAAAAAGGTATGCTTTCTGTCTTTGCATTGCTTGTTTGCTGTCTTGACCTTTCTCCTTTGTGTTTCTGTTGATTGTTTGCTGTATTGGGTTCTCTCTGTTGAGTTTTGTCGTTCTAATGCATCTTTCTGTCTTTATTTCTTCGATTTATGTTTCCTTCAATGTTCTATTTGTTACTTAAATTGTTGCTTTCTGTGCTTCGTTCAATGTTCCATTTGTTATATTTAAATTGTTGCTTTCTGTTTTAAACCTAATGTTACTTCGAATTGGGGAAAATTTGTTGCTGAAAGCATCCCAAGGTTATTGCTGCAATGGGTTTCGCATTTTCCAAAAAAATATTCACTAATTGAATGAACGTAAAATAAAAGAGACAATTCCTTGACGGAGAGATACCTACTTCAGCTTCAAACTACATAGAAAGTACGTGTAATAATGAAAAGAGGTTCAGTATGGAGTTTGCCGGGGTTTGCTCTTAGTAAGTTGTCATTTTAGGTGACATATCATTCCTAGATGAAAGCATCACTTACAATTTATGAACTTTTCAAATTAAGACATTATAATAAGTTAGTTCTTTCCGATCTGCACAGCGCTATCCAAAAGAACATAAAAAGGCATTACTCTTTCTCTTATAATACACAGATGGTGATAGTTCATCTAGGAAAAGAAAAAGAGAACAACCAACTGTTCACGTGTGATACTCGCGAAAGAGTTATTAAGAATGATACATAGCTGGTGATAGTACTTAACTTGCGAGCAAAGAACCGACATTTCTGAGTATGATTATATTCGTGTTGTTGTTGTTCTTATTTTTATTGTTCTTTTGTTGTCTGTTAGCAAGAACATAACAGGCGACATATTTCAGAAAGTGCCTTGTGATGAAGTGTCTTTATGTTACCAAATAGACAACAACAACAGAAAAGTTCTTTGTTATTTTGTGTAAAGAATCTTCTGGCGCTTCAACTATTGTTATAGCTAACATTGTTTCAGCTGATATGGGGCAAGCTAAGGATAACTTTTGGGTTAAATTGGAGCAATTTTTTCTGCCCTGATTACTGGCTGTCACTCTTAGTGGTCTTTTAGGGGTAGATGTGTGCCAAATTCTACCAAGACATTATTGAAAATAATGAAAAAGTAACACGCATAAGATAGATTACTAACAACAGTAAAAAGGAAGATATCTACCTGGATATAGTGCAAAAAAATTAAGGAAAAAACATAGAAAAATGAATCAGCTCATACCTGAAAGAGAAAAACCATAAAGCATAATAGAGGAAAGACGAAGCGGGAGAAGTAGAGGTTTGATTTTGGCTATGGGAGTATCTGTAGAGGCATTACTTCTACTCTGAGTCTTAGGCATTAATTGACATGTCCAACCCTATCCAAAAGTACATAAAAAAACCATTACTGTTTCCCTTATAATATATAGATACTGATAGCTCAGGTTGGACAAGCAAAGGAGAACAAATTGTTCACGCGTGAAACTCAATTTTTTTTTATTGAGATTGATACATAGATGGTGATAGTTCAGTTAGGAAAAGAAAAGGAGAACAATCAATTGTTCACGCATGAAACTTGCGAAAAAGTAATACTTTGAGGCTCTTCTATTAGCTGTACACAGATGCGTTTGAGCTTTCTCTGTTTCTTCATGAAGGCAATTTTCTAAATGAGCACAGTTCATCTGCAAATCAACAATGGAAAAAGATTAAGAAGAAGTCATTAAATAAATTAGCATATCATGAGAACCTTATGAAAAAAATTTAAGTGTAAACACAGTGAATACTATTGATTATCTATCCTCTGTTTTTCTTCAAACATGAATTTGGGACTCTCTTCTCTCATAAGTAGGATATGCTATTTTGGATGGCTATTGTATATTGTGTGGAGTTTTATGTAACTACTCAATTTAAGTGAGAAGTTCTACTTAATGCAAAGGGAAAACAAAAAGAAGGCAGAATAAAAAACTTAATCCTAAGTGGCAAAAGGTGTAGGATTTGTGGCTTAGGTCGCAGGTTCATGCCCCACACCATGCAAAGCAAAGCCCGGTATTTAAGTGGAGAAGGGTAGAGGGGCGGGCCCATTATCCACCGAGTTTAGAAGGCTGTGATTGGTCTAAAGGGCGGGTCACAGACGGATTTCTCGGTTATAAAAAAAAAACAACCTTAATCCTCAGTATTGGTTAGTAGAAATGGTTTTGGAGATCCATTGATGTATGCTAAGCTCTTATAATACATAAATAGTCATAGTTCAGCTTGGAAAAGAAAAGGAGAACAAATTGTTCACGTGTGAAACTTGCGAGGTACAATCAATAGGTGGTCATTTCACTTAACATCATTCGTTTAATGTATGTGTTGAATTGAATTATATACGAGTCTACCTCTGCTTCAGAGATGCTTCAGGAAGTATATCATCAATGGTTTATAAGAACACAATCAAGAACAAGTGATGTTGCATCAACAAAAAGAAACAATTCTTTAGTTATAGTATTTCCCACTAGATGAGTCAGTTTGCTCTGGATAAAGTGCAAGGAATAACTTAGTTCGAGTAGAAAAAATGCTTTGTTACAACAAAGTTGCACCATTTAAGAAGATGAGTACCGATTGAGTAATATAAATTAGAATTGCCATTCAAACTTTTCCTAAAAGGAAAACAGATGCATGTTAATGATTTATACTTCTATTCCTTGCTTTGGTGTAACAGTGTTTTGCTCGATAAACAGAAATTGTTATTTTTTGGACACCAATTTTATATTTGACGACACTTAGTTGAGCTAGATTATTACGTTGTGATTGGCCCCTCGCGGCTGTTACCTCTCTACCTTAACACTTATCCCTAGGTTAAAATAGTTTAGTGACCTGGAAATATAAAAAAAAAATCTGGCAAATAGGACTTATGCAGCCACTCTGCTGACTACTTGTGTTGTTATTTGTGCTTTTTGTTTTTTTATACTTCCCTTGAGATGGAATTCACGAGGTTTTGCTCTTAGTATGCTGTCATTTGACTTCTTCGTTACCTTCTGTAGCATTTTGGAACTCAGATTTCTCCAGCTGAGGAAACAAAGGAAACACTCTTCACTGACAAAAGTGAGTTCCTCCACTTGTGCATTCTACATATTTACCTATATTGATCTACTGTTCTGTTCTTCATTCTGTCTACATAACTGTTTGTGCCTGGACTGTTAATTCAATAAAGTAGAATAAAAGAAACAATTTTTTAAATTATTTTTTCCCGAAACACGCTGAACCACACTTTCCTATGAGCAGGTAATTCTGTTATACTATCATGAGTCCTCCATAGGGAAAAATTAGAAAGCACTATTTGTTAACAATTCCTTTTTTGCTTCTTTTTTTCCCTGTCCATCACGTGAGTACATCCCGTCAGCCCAGTTTCTTGGCACAACAAAATGCTCTCTGATTTTAATCAATGTTTTTCATATGGGGAACTCTGGGTGTGCAATGTTTACTTTGAAATATCAAATCAAAAATATTTTAGTCTTTGTTGTTATGTGACTTTCTTTCAAACTTAAGTTTCATTTGGTTGGTTTATTGAAACCAGAAAAACCCCAATAAGAGGCTTTGATTTACTAAGTTTGCTTCTTCTTGATTATTCTACTAGGTAATATCAATTGTTGCTTTTACTTTGAAGCATCTGTGCTCTTACACAGGAATATGCTTAGTTTGTCATCATATCATAAATTACCTAAGGCAACACGTAAACTAAGCTGTGGTGACATCTTTGACATTATTTCAATAGCATTTTAGCGTGACCTAGGGATAAGGTTCACGTACATTCTACCCTCCACACACCCCATTTGTGCAACCACATTGAATATGTTACTACGCTGCAACTGTATGACATTGTTAACTGTCAGTAATGAGAACATAAACACTAAATGAAGCCACTTTGTTCTCCTCTATATCTTCCTCACCCATTTCATTTGCTAGTATTCCTTTGTCTCAACTTACCTCCTATGAAGTATGATATCTCTATTTGGTGATTCACTGTCAACATAAAGATTGTTAGCTACTGAAAACTTCATGTTACATCTATATTATTTGTATATGTATAAGTATTAATTCTTACTTTAGTATTATTACATGTGAACCTTCTTTTAGATCTATAGAACTCTATTTGCCTCCCTTGTCCCTTGCTAATGGAACATACATTTTGTTTGTGATGCTGATTTTGCCTAATATGGTCCTGTCAACGCATGTTTGGATCAACTAATAATTGATTAAGTTCAGTAATGACTGATTAGTCTTAATATACTTATTTTGAATGATAGTTCCTCTCCGAGTTCAAACTTATTAATATCTAATGTAATTAGCGTAGGTGTATCATTGATGACCAAATTCAACACAACAATACTAATTGATCCACCTTATCCACAACGCGAGCAACTACAAGCATGGTATTACAGCACTCCTTAATATATTCTCACCGTCTTTTTTTTACATATCAAATTAACATTACCAGCAATGTACCTTCTTTGACATTATCTGCAGGGTCACAGAGAACAAAGGAACACTTCATTTACTTTGAGGAGCACATCCAAATCTGGATCTCTCATCTCCATTACAGTAGATGGAAGAAGTCATCCCAATTGCAAACATTGAACCCCAAGAAGATGTTAGTAAAAAAATCATTCATTATTTAATGTTAAAACTTACTACAAATACTTACATTCATTCTTTTCTTAATACAGGAACAAACATTCTCAATTGAAGCAAAAATACCATTCCCGAGTGACCAAAAGAGATTCACGATAACAAAAAACATTCGGCATGCACCAAGCTACTTTTGTTGACTCATTTTAGAATCCAACGTCAACTTAACATCTGTACTTTCTCTTTAGCAGCAAGCTTCATGTATAACCTTGCACAAAACTTATGTAATATATTTAAAACACAACCACGTCTTCTTTATTTTCACGTCAATATAAAACACGCCCGTGCCTTGCACGGGCACTCACCCCCTAGTATATATATACATATATTTCTTTTCTACTATCTTACTTATTTCTTTTCTACTAAGAAGTATTAACAACATTCTGAATCACTACTCATATAACTTTTTGTTTATGTTTAAATCAGGTGGAGCTAGTGTCATTCTTCTTGATTGAGCCATGTCTAGTGGAGTATGAAATGCTTCGATTCCCACCATCAATGCTTGCAGCTGCTGCTATCTTTACTGCACAATGCACTCTCGGTGTGTCTTAAGGAGTGGAATAAAACCTGTGAGAAGCATAGCAGCTATGTCAAAGATCAACTTTTGTAAGTATACTTTAGATTAATATCTATTTATTGACAAATCAGACAGATGTTTGATTGTGTGTCGCTTGATTTTCTACAACAGGGAATGCTCGAAATTGATGGTTTCTTTCCATCAGAAGGCAGCAATTGGGAGGCTTACTGGCGTGCACTGAAAGTACAGCACTTCTAAATATGGCTACACTACTAGATGTGAACCAACTTCTTTTCTATTAGAAGCATGGTTTTAGGATTGTCTAGGAGGAACACATGATGAAACTGCATGCTTGCAGTAGTATATGTGTTCAGTTTTTTTAATGCAATTGTTGAGCAAGATAAGTTGCCCCAGGCTCTGGGGAAAGGGGAGGGTGTTTGAGTTCTTTTGTTACTGAGAAAACTTTGTTTATGGTTTTTCATGTCATGTACATTGATGTTGACATTGTTGGAATGTGAAATCTTGCTTTTCATACTTTTTCTTGAATACACATTTACAAGTTGCAGTTTCTTCTCAGCAGACATACTTAACTCAAACTCAGTCTATTTCTAAGTTCAACCCAACTATTAAATTAGGTTAAAAAGATATGTAAACCCAAAATGACTCCTGAGAATCTTATCAAAATTTGAGCAAGCTGGCTATCATCAATCAAAGTGTTAGTTACATTTGGAGTAAAATAGATACACTAACCAAAATATAATATAACCAAAGAAAATAGTCTGCGTCTTTTGTTTTCTCTTTAAACTTGTAGCTTCCGATTTCCGAATATGGATAACTTATTGATTCTATATTTATTTTCTATCTATAATCTATATGATAAAGTCTTGTGAATGATGTATATGTTTTATTTTTCTTCTATTTTTTGTGTGTTTTTTCTCTACTAGACTTCACCAATCTTATTTTTTTTATCATTATCGTAAGTATGTATTGTTATTTGGCTCAAATTAGTCATGTGACTTTATTGAAAGTGTGTTAGCTACTAAACAAAGTTAAAAAATAACCGGTAATAGCTTCAACGGAATTGATTTACTGATGGAAGCTTCAAAGGAATTGATTTTAAACATTACAATGTGCCCCTCATTTGGTGTTTCTTGATGGACATTAAAAAATATTATCCACTTCACACGATTTGCATAGAATTTCAATTGTTCTAACGAATTTATAGAAATTCACATGGAACACACGTGCGTCGAGAGACTAGTATATTTATATGAGTGAACACATGTGCATGAGAAATAGCCTAATCAAAATAATTTGATTTTGTAACTATTAATATATTAAATTATAGGGGGATAAAAATTAAATACTTGGAAGATGGGTTTTGAGATTAATGGGGAGATTGTTTTAGGACTTAGGATTAAGAAAATCCAACAATAAATACGAAAAAAAGTGTAGTAGCTACAAGAAAGTAACAATACTAACAAGGTTGGTCATATTTACTAGAAGAACTATTTTCAAGGAGTATTATTCAGAATTGTTACTTCGATGTGGTAAAAAAGAGGTAATTAACTGCCCATACAAGAAGGGGAAAAATTGATAGTGCAAAAATTAAAATAGACTCAACCCGACAAAGGGAGTATATGCTAACGGGCATTTAAGTAATTTATTCAAAGTTAGCAAAAAGAAAAAAAAAAATTACCGATTGTTTCTTCCCGGCATACTGTACTACACATTTCAAAAAAAAATAAAAAAATTACCGATTGTTTCTTCCCGGCATACTGTACTACACATTTCAAAAAAAAATAAAAAAATTACCGATTGTTTCTTCCCGGCATACTGTACTACACATTTCAAAAAAAAATAAAAAAATTACCGATTGTTTCTTCCCGGCATACTGTACTACACATTTCAAAAAAAAATAAAAAAATTACCGATTGTTTCTTCCCGGCATACTGTACTACACATTTTGTCGTCCTCCCCTTCCCTTCCCTTCCCCAGCTCAAAAAATAGAGGAAGAACACACCAAACGTTTGGTTTGGAAAGAACACATTACACACCCAAACATTTTTTTCTTCTTCCCCGACTCAAACAAAACCCTCACTTTAAAATGTCGACTTCTATGGGGTTTGTAAAGAAAATGAAACAACACTTCAAGTCTGAAATGGATGATGTCTTCAGCGAACAAATCAAGTTTGGTTTGTTTTCACTTAATTTTTTGGTCGTTGGTGGTACATTTGGTTTTCAATGTTATGATGCTGTTTTCAAAGAATCCACAAAGGAAACTGTGCAACTTACTATCAAACAATTCAAGAAGGTTAGAAATGGTGTACCCTATGTTTCTCAACCAAAAAACTTTATCTCTCTTTACTTTAAATTTCATTACTGATGAAAAATGTTTTTGTTTACTGATTTAAGGATCATCAAAGGAAAGAAATATTGCCTGAATGGGTACGTTATTTCATGAAATCTTCTTGACGGATTAGTGTTTTTACATTCTTTTAATTCACATAGAACTCTAATATCTTGTTGGATTTCTTAAGATCTCTTTATGGGCAAGTAAGGATGACGACAAGCTTATCCGAAGATCTCTCAAGCTCATTCACAAAGTAATTGAAGAGGATCCGGATGAATTTGTTAATCGCAAGAAAGGTATTCTATATGATTAGTTAGTTGCTTTAGGACTGCCGTGTCTATTTCTAAGTTTCCTGTATTTCTCTTTTCAGTTATGTTAGGGGTAGTTACCATGGTTAGCACCATGACTTAAAAGTAGGACCATGATCTAATTCAGTTTACTTTTCTCTCAGTTATCTTCACTTTAAATTCCTTGTATTCTCCTGCTTTCCTTTCTGTAGCAGACTAGACATTGTCTTCATTGTGTTATCTGTCATCAGTCTTATTAGAACTTATAGTTGGTATCAGAGCTTTCATCTTAAGGGATCTGTGGTCGAGTTGGAGAAGCCATGGATGCTGAAGCAAGTTTCTCACCAATTGCTCCGCCGGTCTTTGATGGAGATAATCATCAGATTTGGGCAGTACGGATGGAGACGTACTTGGATGTTTTGGATCTCTGGGAAGTTGTGAAAGAGGATTACGATATCCCAGCCCTACCAAATAATCCTACCATTGCTAAATTAAAGCACACAAGGAAAAGAAGACAAAGAAATCGAAGGCCAAGGCATGTTTATTTGTTGTTGTATCGTCAATGGTTTTCACGCGAATAATGTCTATGAAAACTGCTAAAGAAGTATGGGATTATCTCAAGGAAAAGTATTCTGGATATGAGAGAATAAAAGGTATGCAAGTTTTAAACTTAATTAGGGAGTTTGAATTGCAAAAAAATGAAGGAATCTGAAACAGTGAAGGAATATTATAAGGTGAGGCTACTCGGCTCTACATTTCCAGACTCAAGAATTGTTGAGAAGATTCTTGTAACAGTTCCCTGAAAGCTCAAGAGCAAAGAAGACTCATGAGACAGGAGGTTACAACAGAAGAGGCTCTTGTCACTAAGCATCAGGTTAACAAAATTCAGAAAAAGACAAAAAATCAAGCAGTGTGTGAAGGAGAAACATCAGCCAACAACAAAAGTAAGGGAGGAAGCGCGAAGAAAAGTTATCCCCCTTGTCAGCACTGTGGAAGAAAATACCATCCACCATTCAAGTGCTGGAGGAGACCCAATGCTAAACGCAAGAAATGCAATAAGCTTGGACACGAAGCAGTGATTTGCAAGAATAAGGCCCCGCAGCAGGAAGAAAATACTCAAGTTGCTGATCAAGAAGAAGAGGATCATCTTTTTGTTGCAACATGCTTTTCAAGTAAGAGCTCAACTGATTAATTGACAGTGGTTGCTCTAACCACATGACTCATGGCGAGAGTTTATTCAAAGAGTTGAAGCCCACTGAAATTTCCAGGTTCGAATAGGAAATGGAGATCACCTTCCTGTCAAAGGAATTGAAACCATAGCTATCAAGATGAGCACTGGCACAAAGAAAATTTCAGAGGTTCTTTATGTTCCTGAAATTGATCATAATTTGCTAAGCACAAAACATCTGATGGAAAAAGGATTCAGGGTTTTCTTTGAAGATCATCACTGTCAAATCAGTGACACTACTGGAAATGAAATCTTCAGGGTGAAGATGAGAGGAAGGAGTTTTTCCTTTGATCCAACAGAGAAAGAGCAACTAGCTTATTCCATGAAGGCTAGTGTAACAGAAACCTTTCACAGGAGACTTGGCCATTGTCATCTACAAGCACTATTGTTGCTGCAAAAGGAAGATATGACAAGAGGACTACCAACTCTAGTTGATCACTTACCAAGTTGTCAAGCTTGTCAATTTGGTAAGCAGAATAGGAAGTCATTTCCCAAAGCAACATGGCGGACTTCTCAAAGGTTGCAACTGATTCACACAGATGTTGCATGACCTCAAAGAACACCATCCCTTAATGGTAGTCTATACTATGTTATATTCATTGACGATTATACAAGGTTCTGCTGGATTTTTTTTTATGAAATATAAATCAAAAGTGGCTGGAATTTTCTTGAAGTTCAAAAAGATGGTGGAAAATCAAAGTGGTTGTAGAATCCAATCTCTGCGGTCTGACAATGGAAAAGAGTATAATTTTGATGAATGTAACACATTATGTGAGGAAGCGGGTATTACTATACTCCGCAACAAAATAGAGTTAGTGAAAGGAGAAACAGATATATAATGGAGATGTCACGGTGCATGTTGCATGAAAAGAGTTGCCGAAAAGTTTTTGGGCTGAGGCAGCTAGTACGACAGTATTTCTCCAAAATCGGCTTCCTACTAAAGCATTGTTGAATAAAACTCCATTCGAGGCTTGGAATGGATTCAAACCATCACTAAGATTCATTAAGATATTTGGTTGTGTTTGTTTCTTTCATGTGCCACAGGTTAAAAGAGACAAACTTGACAAGAAGGCACTTCCTGGAATATTTGTGGGTTATAGCTCATCCTCCAAAGCCTACAAAGTATATAATCTACAAACAGAGAAGATGATTGTTAGTAGAGATGTGCACTTTGCTGAGGAAGAGAAATGGGACTAGAAGGACAATCAACTTCAGTCAAAGCTTTAGAGGAATAGGCATTTTGGAAAAATGAGTTGGTGGATGATCTTCCAATTAGAGGTACAAGACTACTCTCTGACATTCTACCAACAAAGCAATGTTGCGGTTTGTGAGCCTGCAGGGCACGATGAAGCACTTCAAGATAAAAAATGGAGAAACGCCATGGAACAGGAGATGCTAATAATCAAGAAAAACAAAACTTGGGAGTTAGTTGACCGACCGAACGATAGGAAGGTCATTGGAGTAAAATGGGTGTTTGACCAAGCTCAATTCTGATGGTTCTATCAATAAATACAAGGCTAGGATTGTTGTCAAGGGATATGCCCAAATATTTGGTGTTGATTACTCGGACACCTTTGCTCCAGTAGCCCGATTGGATACCATTAGATTGTTGCTAGCAATAGCAGCACAAAAGGGCTGGAAAGTGTTCGAGCTAGATGTGACATCTGCCTTTTTAAATGGTGTACTACCGGAAGAAATCTATGTAGAGCAGCCCGAGGGTTTCTTTGAGCAAGGAAAAGAAGAAAAAGGGTGTCTGCCTAAAAAGGCTCTTTATGGCTTAAAACAAGCTTCGAAAGCTTGGTATAGCAGAATTGTTGATCACTTGATGAGTTTGGGGTTTGTACGAAGTGTATCTGAAGTCACTTTTTATGTCAAACATAAAGGAAGTGATCTTCTCATTGTTTCCCTTTATGTTGATGATCTCTTGGTGACAGGAAACAATGTGTGGCTGGTTGAAGAGTTTAAGAAGGAAATGATGCAAGTTTTTGAAATGACATACTTTCTAGGAATGGAAATCAAGCAAGGCTGTGATGAAATTTTTATCTGCCAAAAGAAGTATGCAGGAGAGATACTTAAGAAATTCCATATGGAAAATTGCAAGGCAACAACCACGACCAATGAATCCAAAGGAGAAGTTAAGCAAAGAGGATGGAACCGATCAAATTGATGAAGGAAATTTCAAAAGCTTGATCGGATGTTTGATGTATCTCTTTGCTACAAGGCCGGATATTCTATTTGTTGTAAGTCTTTTATCTAGATTTATGCATTGTGCTACTGAAATGCATTTGCGAGCAGCAAAAAGAATTATAAGATACATTAAAGGTATTGTTGAATACAACAACAACCCAGTGAAATCCCACTAGGTGGGGTCTGGGGAGGGTAAATAGTACGCAGACCTTGCCACTACCTCGTGGAGGTAGAGAGGCTGTTTCCAAGAGACCCTCAGCTCAAGAACATCAAATCTAAGTGACAAGAGAGATACATGCAAACATAACAGCCAGTACAAAAGATAGCGTATACTCAACAAATGAGATAATAACAAGAAAGATATAGGGAGTGAAACGCAGTAAACAGCAAAAGGCTAGGACTGCTCCAAACGCTAACAACCCAAACCCTCGCAAGGGAAGACAACCCGCTAACCCTACTAACCTTCAACCTTAATACGCGACCTCCACTCCTTCCTATCTAGAGTCATGTCCTCGGTGAATATGGTGTCAAATTCAAGAAGTGTGAGAATTTCAAGTTGTATGGATTCTCAAACAGTGATTGGGCTAGATCCGTTATCGACATGAAAAGTACATCAGAATATTGTTTCAGTCTGGGATCAGGGATTTTCTCTTGGTGTTCAAAAAAGTAGGAAACTGTGGCACAATCCACGGCAGAGGCTTAATTCATTGCTGCAACTGCAGCAGTACATCAAACCTTATGGCTGAGAAAATATTTTCTGATTTGCATATGGAGCAAAACGTTAATACTGAGGTTCATGTTGATAATCAAGCTGCAATAGCCATTTCGCATAATCCAGTGTTCTATGGGAAGACTAAACACTTCAACATCAAGCTTTTTTTCTTGAGGGATGTGCAGAAAAAAGGAGAAGTGATTCTTGTTTTTTGCAAATGTATTTACGAAATCCCTTCCTGTCAGCAAGTTCGAGTTCCTAAGGCAACAACTTGGAATTTGCAGCTCCTAATGCAAGGAGGAGTATTAGTTAGTTATTTTAGGACTGCAATGTCTATTTCTAAGTTTCCTGTATTTCTCTTTTCAGTTGTGTTAGGGGGTAGTTACCATGGTTAGCACCATGACTTAAAAGTAGGACCATGATCTATTTCAGTTTCTTTAGTTGTATGTTTATGTATTTTCGGTTGTTTTTTTACAGATTTAAGAACTCTCTGCATAAACTTTTCTCTCAGTTATCTTCACTTTAAATTCCTTGTATTCTCCTGCTTTACTTTCTGTAGCAAACTAGACATTGTCTTCATTGTGTTATCTGCCATCAGTCCTATTAAAACTTACATATATACTTAAATTAGACGTTAGCTAATGAATTTAAATAGCTATCTCCTAATGTTTGGGTCATCTTATTACAGGTTTTAGCCGGATGATAGAGCCTTGGATTACAAAGGATTATGTACAAAAGAAAGGTCTCTATACAAAGATGTGGACTAAATTTGGCAATGCGATAAAGTTTGGAATCGTTAAGTCTGAAGCTAATAGGAATGAATTTGCCAACTTCCTCCGATTTGAGAGGTAAGCATTCTTATACTTGTACTCGTTCATGGCCCTGTTGGCGTCACAGACCTGATAAATATTAACACTTTAGTTAACTATATCATTATAGGATTAAAATGGCATATAAAACATATAAAACTTATAAAATCGACTGGTTGAGTTACAAATACCTCAGGATAGTATCAGTAGCACATTCAAGAGGATCAAATAGAAGCGTTGGTGCATATTCAAAAAGGACTTGATAGTAGATTCTCTTGGCACAGGAACTTACTACATTCGGCAAAATAGATATTGGAATATCTTCAAGAGCAACAAGTTAATAGTAGTTTTGTTATACAACGAATCAAATATATGGTTATGGAGAGAGTACACATGTGTAGAGGTCCCAAGCACGCTAGAAAATGTATAGGTTGGATAGAACAGTTATGTAACTAGTTGTTGAGGCCTGATTTATAGGGTAAAAGGTTCAAATAACAGTTATAAGAACAGATGAGCTACTGATTAAATCTGCTAAGGAAGGCGCAAGCTAGGCACCAAGTGTCTCCCTCTCAGCACATAATAGCATGGCAGCGATTGTGCCTGAGAATTGACAATGGCAAGGCTTTGGCAAGGCTTTGATCAATGACACCCAACCGATCTATTGTCACTCCGATAACAGGAATTCCACAACGACTCTTGAGGATTACTTTTGGAAGCTATTTACCACCAGGGTTTGAGTGATACAATAGAACGAGAAAACTAGTAGTTTAGAGGAAGAGACCCAGCTACAGTCCATCAAAGTGGTTAGCATGGAACCAGTGATGAGGAAAGTGCAATTTCAAATGCTGAAACATCCACCCATCAAACACCCAATGCAGAATCTACACGAGATGATTGTAGTAATGGTAAGGCTCTCATAATTGTAACTCCTTGTATGAAGAATGGACGCGTAACTGTTACAATTGGAGAAGATGATATTAAGGCACAAATGAAAATTGGGAAACAACGGTAATAGGATAGGTAGTAGGTGATACACCATACGGGGAACATCGGAAGAACTATGTAGACAAGAACTGGAGTTTTGTTTCTATGCCTAGGGTACTGATGAAGGATACGATATCTTCAACTTTAAATTGGTGACTTACAAGGAAGGGGTTCTTAATATTCTACCATACTATTACAACAATGTCATTCTCAAACAATGGGAGCTAGATTTCCAGTTTGATAAGGAAACTCTTAGTTTGATACCTATCTGGGTGAAGTTTCCAGTAGGGTATTGGTCTGTTGAGGCATTAACTAAAGTTGCTTGTACAGCATGTAGAGTAGTGCATACTTATCAATACACTACAAACTCTGTTAAGATTTCATATGCCAAAATTTTGATCAAAGTAGATGTCTCACGGCCATTCACTGAGGTGATTCAAATTGAGACTAACGCAGGAATGTGGGAGCAACATGTAGACTATGAATGGAAGCCAAAATACTGCAATGAATGTCTGCGGTATGGACACATTGATGTTGAGTGCTGGTACCAGAATCAAGATAAGGGGAATGGTGATACAAGGGGAACTAGAGAAGAAATTGCAGGTTCCCAAACAGGTGTGGCAGGTTGTAGTTAAAAAGGGGAAACCCCCAATTGAAAGAGAAGGTCTCAAATGGGAGAATTTGGCTAATGTGTCAAAGGTAGTTATAAAAATTGTTAGCATCATTATGCCAACAACTAGTATCTCTGCTTTACCATATTAGTATTATGAGTATTGAGTGCAGATAAATGAACTAGGAAAAATCCTATCATGTGTGTGCAATGAAATCATCAGTTAGTATCAAAATTTATATATGTTTATTTAGTATTCCTATTGTCTATAGTATCAAAATTTATGTTTATTCAGCTTTTGTTAGTTTTGTGGATGAAAAGGGCACATGACTCACCCTTTCTTGAAACCCTGTTCCTGCTACGTTTGAGTTTTTAAAGGTTTTATCTACACTTTAAAATTATCTAAAGACAATCAGAATTTAGAGGTCATTTAGTTCAGGATGACATGAACTAGTTGTACACAACAACAACAACATACCTAGTGTAGTCTTGCAAGTGAGATTTGGGGAGGGTAGAGTGTACGGAGACCTTACCTCTACCTCAAAGGTGAGGTAGAGAGGTTGTTTTTGATAGTTGTGCACATATTTACAATAAAGCCATTGCCCTTTTACCTTTGTACACTTATATATCAAACTTAGTTCACATCGCATAAGGTTCAAACATGTATTAATGTTCCATACCCCAACTGAAGTTTCACTTTAGTAGTGCCAACATTAGTAACGTTAGCTATAACATTGCATAATGATGCAAACTTTAATTTTATAAAACAAACACTATATTAAGTATACAGAATACTTTACATGAATTATTTTTTTCTTACATGTTAAAGGACAATAAATGCTACAGAAAAGCTTGAAAAAAAAGTAATTAAGGAAAAATCCGCCATTGCAGTACGCAAAAAACAAATGGGGTCCTACCGACCAAAGAAAAGTGTGTCAAAACCAGTTGTCACCAAGTGCTTCAGACTACTAAAGTAAAAGATTACAGAAGAGCTCATATCAACAAATATTTTATGTCTCTTTTACAAGGAAAATCTATGAGTAAGCAGGAGGGTAGAACCATTCTCAGTATGTCACAATCTCTCTCTGTTATAATTAATGAACCTTAACAATACTGCTTTTAAAAGATTAAAGAGGCTGGCTGTTCATATGTTAGGGATGCGTTTGGAAGCCATTAAATTAAGTATTTAATTATATTTTAGAAGCTTTATTTATTATTCTAGAATAGCATTTATGTTTTATAGTTTTATAAGGATTAGGTTAAGCTATAGTTATTAGTTCGGAATAGGATTTAGGTCTCCTACTTTCATAAGAATTAGATTTTCTATTGATGTAATATGACTCCTATTTAAAGGGCCTTTTGATGAATAAATCAGTAAGTCATTTTCAGCAAAAAGCAAGAGACTATAGTTCTCTCTTCCATCGAACTCTAAGGTTTCAGTCTCCCTTTGAATAGCTGAAGAGATCGGAGTTCTCTCTTTTAATGAACTCTAAGGTTTCAACCTCCCTTTAATGAGTTGATTTATATATCGCCCCGTGAATCGATCTTTCCTTAAAGATCCATAACAATTTAAGGTTTCAACCTCCCTTTAACGAGCTGATTTATATATCGCCATGGGAATCAATCCTTCCCTAAAGAACCATAACAATTTGGTATCAAAGCCTAACACAATGGGCGATGAGATCAGTTCTCAATTTCAAGGAGAACATACCATTACAGAAACCCTACTGGACTTTAAAATTGCAGCAATGGAACAACGCCTCATCGATAGAATTGTCCAAGACATCTAAGAACAATTGTCTAGATTGGGAGTTGACTCCACAAAACCAGCAACCCACAAACCTGAGTCAAATAGTGCCCAGACAGCTAGCAGATCAACAATTTCTGCTACAAAAGGCAATACACCACCTACTTATAACGACACCAATAACCCATTAATTCGGGCACATCGTTGTGAACATTTTTTTGAAAAAAATCAACATACAACGAAAGCAAAAAAGATTGGTGTGGCTGGATTTCACATGTTCAGACTAGCACCATTATGGCATTATCAACTTAAACGAGCGAAAGGCTCAATGAGTTAGAATATCAGCGATTTGGACCTCATAAAAGTAGCAACCTGATGGGCAAATTAGTCATGCTTCAGCAAACTGATAGAGTCGAAATTTATCAATGTCAACTTCAAGCTAGGGCTGGAATTGGATAAGTTGATACGGATCCAGATTTTCTGGATGATTGCCCAAAAACTTGAGCTTGAGGACAAGCTCTTTCAACGTGAGGGAGTAATGTTAGGGATGTGTTGGGAGCCATTAAATTAAGATTAAGTATTTAATTATATTTTAGAAGCTTTATTTATTATTCTAGAATAGGATTTATATTTTATAGTTTCATAAGGATTAGGTTAAGCTATAGTTATTAGTTCAGAATAGGATTTAGGTCTCCTACTTTCATAAGAATTAGATTTCTCTTCCCCAACAACTTCACTCCGGAGGAATCGCATATTCTTAAGCAAGGAGATCAGACTCTTATTATTGAACTTCTTATTGATGTAATATGACTTCTATTTAAAGGGGCTTTTGATTAATAAATCAGTAAGTCATTATAGTTCTCTCTTCCATTGAACTCTAAGGTTTCAGTCTCCCTTTGAAGAACTGAACAAATCTGAGTTCTCTCTTTTAATGAACTCTAAGGTTTCAACCTCCCTTTAATGAACTGATTTATATATCGCCCTGTGAATCGATCTCCCCTAAAGATCCATAACAATTTAAGGTTTCAACCTCCCTTTAACGAGTTGATTTATATATCGCAATGTGAATCGATCCTTCCCTAAAGATCCATAACATCATATTTTCAACAACAACCTCATAAATGAGCATGTTCTAACATCCCAATCTTTTGCATTACAACTCTAATTGCATTCAAGGATCGCAACCATCACCAAAAACCATCAGAATTCATCCCCTTGCTATTTCCACTCACATACATCATATTAGATATTTTTCCATAAGGGTGTGGTGGTGTCAAAGACAATTTGCACGGATCTCGACTATTCTTCGAATACTTGATACCTCTCCCTAGCATAGCTACCAACTAATTGTAATGTTGTACACACCTCAACTATTCTCTGAATACATGAGACCACATACTAGCACACATTTACCAAGTAACTCTCCCACTAACACTTAGGCAGATATTAAGTCAACAGGTTCCAACCCTTTCAAAGATATTAAGTCACTTGGATGACATTTAGTGTACAATATGGTTTCCTCATCTTCTCCACAAACAATTCAAGAATAAAATGCTAAAGATAAGATTTGAGCAACTGATAAATATATGAACAGGCACTTTTTCTTACACAATCTCACTTCATAGAACTAAGAAAAAGGAAAGAAGAAAATAGGGCAGAGTGAGACAAGTAGTGTGACGCTGCAATCTGCCTCTACTTAGAATTTACCCCTTCTACTGCCCGACAAAAGTAAAGAATCGTAAAACAGGTCAAAGCTGAAGAGGAGAAATACCATTTTAAGTTCCACATACAGTATATGGAGTTACAAATACATGTAACAAACAACGTTAAATGAGAGTAGAAGAGTTCAATTTCAGTCCCAAAATATCAGATGCATTGAGATAAAAAGGAGTAGGAGAGATCTATTGGGTTACCTGGGGGCCATGACTGGTGTTCGATGCTAGAACAGAGGTGACGTGGATTCGGAGGCATGAAGAGGCGATGCAGAACAGATGAAGCAGGGTTGAGTTTCAGTAGTGATGAATTAAATTGTGCCTTTCACAAAAGCCTCTTCTATTTTATGATATTAATTTGTGATTTAGAAAGATTTTCTCTTTCTTTTGAATGGAATTGGTAAATCATGTGAAAAACATTGGAGGGAAACTTTAAATAATAATGATAACAGATGTCTTTAAAATTGTGATTTTAGTGGTCATAGATTTGATTGATGGTACAAGAATACCTTTGGTGGTCAATATCTGTTAGTCAGTAATATTTTACCTTAAAAAAAGTAGTGACCATTAAATTAATGCCACTGTAAAATTGTCGCTAAATCCCCTTTTTGCAGTAGTGCCTGGACAGATTTATGGAGCTAATGGTAATTCCCCTTAACCTGGAGGTGTCTCATATGACCAATATGTATCTCAAGAATTTATTGGTGGTATGCAAATAGGTTCTTGCTCAAGAATTGCTGCTTACTTTATCAAGGCTTATCTGTATGAACTCGTGGGATTTGAAATATCATTGGCCAAGACATTGCAAATCCTTTGCAATTATGGAATGCATATAGGACACTATTTGGACAGAGCAGAACCTGATGGTTAAAGTTTGGGTGCTCAATGTTATTGCTGTGGAAAATATACAGTATTTTATATTCTTTGTCCATAGAAAACACCTGATAAAACTCTAATATTAATGTATGTGGTTACATGTCTCAGAATGAATATAATAACCCTTAATTATAGACATTGACTGATTTTTTATTTGTGTATGTTTGCAGCACAAAATCCGAAGGCGAGCTGATAAGCCTAGATGAATATTTGTCAAGGCTGCAATCCGGTCAAAACAAAATATTTTACCTCATAGCGACCAAAAATCAGTTGGAAAAGTCTCCCTTTATTGAGATGCTCAAGAAAAAAGATTTTGAGGTATAAAATTTTCTTTATCGATAATTTATTCGAGTTTTTTTTTAGAATAGTAACTATATTTTATATCCAAAACGGAAACCATATATACAATTTTCCAATGTGAGGACAACTTCTCTAGCTAATAACCACACAAAACAAGACACTTTATATGGGATTTTGGCTTTCCATGTTTGCTCCCATGGCCAATTATGAATCTGGATGTTGGACTGGTTCATTAGATGATATGTTGCATCGACCCTGTAGGAGAGCCTTATTGATCCCTTGCCACCACAGTGTATCTTCACCAATTTGTAGTCCTGTGAACCGATTGAGAGAACTAAAAAAATTAGCCACTCTCTAGACTTCCCAATCATTTATATTCCTTTTAAATCTGATATTCCCAAGACAAGTATATTCACAAGTTGTTGAGACGAACTGACTTTCTTTTCTCGTTTTCTAGGTGATACTCTTAACAGATGATATAGATCCATATGTGGTCCAACATCTGTTGGCTTATAAGGGGAAGACATTCCATGATATATGCCAAGATGGATTCAAATTCTACAAGGAAGACCTCGAGAAGTCATTTGAAAAACTTGTTCAATGGTGGACAAAGCTTCTTGATGTTGATGTAAAAATCAACCATCTTCTTTCCTACACTCCTTGTGTTGTGGTGGAGTCAAGGTACGGGTTGACTTCATTTTTGGAGATATTACCACATTCGGAGCCACACATGCCTGCTAGAAGAGTGCTCGAAATCAACCCTGGGGATCCGATGATTAAGGATCTTTGTCAGCATGACCCAAAGGTATATATCTATATATACATCGTGTTTTTATATGATTGTAAAACTCAAATTTCGAATCAGAATATGATAATATCTTGTTTTTGTTTTGTAGGATGAGAATGTGCAGCGGCTAGCTATAGCCTTGTATGGTATAGCTTTGATCGAGAGTGGGTTGTTGCTCACAGAGTCGGAGACTTCGACTTTTCATCCGTTTAGATTTGCTCAAAGCAGTCTAAACCGCTTCGGAGGTGTGAAGAAGGAGCCCGAGATTGAAATTGGGAAGAATTTTTTTGAAAAAGTATTTCCATTACCTTGGAGCCGTTCGAGCAGAACACCTTAGGAATTCGTAGGTTGACGTGTGTAAAAATTGTGATTGAATAGTTTTGAAAATTTGTACGGATGGTGCTACTGTTTTTAGTGTTAGAACTTCTAGTGTTTTGTATGGAAAAGGAATATTTGTCATGATTATATATTTTCTTTTTCCCACTTTAGAAAGTTCACATGGTTAGTAACCTGGGTAAATTCATGAAGTATGTCCCTATGCCTTGCCAGTTTCTGTGTAGCAGATGCCGCACATCTACTCATAGAATCATTTACATCCAGTAGGTTCTCAAGTAATGACTGAATCTCCACGAGCTGGTGGATCCTAAAATTGGCGAACCAGCCTCTATATAACCTGAATTCAATAAAAACAAGAATCAGAAACCACACCACAAGCCGAGTTGTTCAACAAGTTCCAAAAATCAGAAACAGGCCATATTTGCTTTGTTTGTTAGGGAAGCTCAAACCCATGACAGCCTATCTAAAGCTTAGGTGGGTAATCCAGTAGTGTCGACCTTTAGGACTTCATGGACAAAGACAAGCAACTAACAAATATCTACAGAAGCTTACTCCTGGTCTGTAACATAATTAGACTAATGATGTGTCCTGATCAGTAATTAGAGTAACAATTTCTGCAATTACAATTTATACTAATTATCTTCTTGCATTAGATTTGGTTGTATCGTTTGCATGATTTCTAAACGTTATAAGTTTGAATTATTTCTGAGTAACAATTTCCAGAAATTGAGGGGTATATTCTTTTAAAATTAAAATGAACGGGTATTTGGCAGAGAACTTGAGTTGAGGGAATTCTATATTGAACTGAAGGAACTATGGAAAAAGGCAAAAAGGTAACTTGGCAATGCAAAATGGACAATTAATGATGCACCAAAAGTGTAACAGCACCCTACAGGTTAGCAGTTTAGAGCAGAGAATGAAGTCGAATGTATTTAAAGAATTCGTAAAAACCCAGCTGGTAAATTGGAGGAAAACAAGGACGTGGAAAGCTGACCTCTTAAGGGACAATCAGGTCAACACCAACTATAATGCAAGCATAACTGACTTCTTCAATGGCAGCAACTGGAATCTTCACTTTAGCTTACCTATTACTGACTGGATGGCCTTGCAGGTCAGATTCTTTGAAGTGGATGGCAAAGAATGATGGAATTTTCTCAGTTAAATCAAGCAAAGCAGCACAAGAAGGAGTCAATGAGGCCTTGGAAGCTGATATTTCCAAAAACAATGGCTGGATTTGGATGGATAGCACTCAATAATGCCTGTTTCATACACAATGATTTCCAAAGGAGGAGTACGGAATCTTGCAGCATATGTTACATTTGCAAATCGGACTGACATTACCAGCATATCTTCTGAGGTTGAATCAGCACGTAGTATTTCCATAGCTAGTGTGGTTTCTTGAGGAAATAACACTCATGCCAATGCAACTACGAGAAAAGCCTGTCAAATAAAGAAAGTAAAAATGTAGGTTTGGAGTGAGGATCAAATCTAAAATCTCTAATTAAGAACGAAACATTTTCATTACTTCACTACGTACAACTCATACTAATGTTGATAGAATATCATAACTACTCACATACAGAGTATTATCTTTAGTCTAATATATAATAGAACAATGCACATGTCAAAGGTACGTAATTAATTAACTGTTTTTCTCTTAATTTTAGGCTAAATAAATATATTTTGTAGGAGCCAGCATGATTGAATTATTACAAATCATGATCTGAAAATGCAGTGCTGTGACTACTATCTCTATCCCCAATAATAGAGGGGCTGGCTCCTTTTATTAAATGAGAGTTTTGGTCCAATTCGTCATTTCGTGTAGAACCACTCTACTTTTCATACTGCATGAGGTGATTAGACAAAATCCTTCCGGTTCGGCTTCCCACATCATACGTAGTTGTTGCCGACATTTTATCATAATTCATGATTAGGTCACGTTCAAGAATTCAAAGTACCTGAGACAACGAAAATGACATGAGAATATAATCCAGCATATATAATCAAGATTGTAAAAAGTCTAGGCAAAAGGAAACACATACCTGAGACATTCGAGGCATAGTCTGAGAATGCACAAAGATGAAGCATGCATCATGAAATACACCTCATGCTTCTTGTAGTTGCTTCCCTTCACCAATAAGGGTGGGAGCTAGCGAGATTCCACAAATTGAAGGCTATTCTGTTTTAGGGAAGAGTTCGATGTTTCTGATTTTGAAAAAGAGCGGAAGTTTTTAGGTTGTCTTCCTCAAATCTCGAACAATATAGTTAATTTAGCTAGTAACCTGTAAGTTTATAAACATCAGTCTATGGACAAATTCGACAGCAAAGCTTGACAGGAAATATATTGAAGTTATACAAAACTGAAAGTAAAAGATTGAAGAAGATGAAGATCTTTATCTCATTATTGAATAACATTTACAATGCCTGATGATATGTATTTATATATGATTGAATTGACTAACTTACCTAACTTTTGTAACTAACTTCTTGAAAGTACTACTAACTTTCAACACTCTCTTTCTTTTTGTCTCTCTCAATACTCTCCATCAAGCTAGGTTGTATAAATATGTTTAAGACCCCTAGCTTGGATAGTAGATAGTCATGTTGAGGCTTGTTGAGACCTTTGGTAAGCATATCAGCCGGCTGATTTTGTGTTGAAACATAAGCAATCTTGACCAATCCTTGTTGGAGTTTTTCCCTGATGAAATGACAATCAATCTCAATGTGTTTAGTACGTTCATGATATACTGGGTTAGAAGCCAATTGAATAGCAGACTTGCTGTCACTATATACTTGAATTGGTAACTGAACTTCAGTCTTTAACTCTTTCAACATTCCAACTAACCAAACTAACTCTGCTACAGTAGAAGCTAAGCTCATGTACTCAACAAAAAAGAAGTTGAGAAAGAAGAAGGTAAAAAAAATGAAGTTGAGGATGATGATGGGATTAAAACTATCAATGCACACACATTTCCTGTGCATTTCCAGCCTAATGCTACTGGTGATAACATTATGAGGTCAACCATGGGACACTACCTTTGAATTGTCCCATGGCCTACTGCTTTATAAAAATGGGACACTACCTTTGAATTGTGAAAGTTATTTCGAATATTTTCCCCAATGTGTTTCATGCAACAACCACAATGAGATGCAGGGTAGATAGTCGAAACCATCTTTCGAATACTTGGATGTCTATCAGAAATAATGCACAACTCATTAGTATCATCTACAAAGCTTCTCATATTTTGAAAAAATTATTCATATGAGGCATCGCATTCCTTGTTCACAACACAGAAAGCCACTGGAAATATATGATTCTCAACATCTTGTGCCACCGCCGATAGCAAAACTCCTTCATACTTGCTCCTCAGAAATGTCCCATCAACGGCTATTACTTTTCTCATTTCTTGAAAACCAGTTATCCAAGGGGCATATGATACAAAGAAGTACTTGAACCTCCCGTTTTCATCTAGCGACAATGTCGTCTTGCTTTTTGGATTTGCAACTTGAAGCATATAACAGTACGCATTAAGCATTGCATACTCATTCTCATGTGTTACCCTAACCGAAGACTTAGCATGCTCCATGCCCTTATAAATCTTCCAATAGCTTACCTTACAACCCAATTATGTGTGGAGTTGATTTGACATGTCTCTTGTGGATAGGCCTTTACCATTGGGAAACCTATTTTCAAAGTACTTACCTATGACTTTTGCCATGGCATGCAGATTATGGCTTGTAAGATGCTCTAAACCACATGTATGGTACTTTTCATAGATTCTAATGACAAACCTGTCGCTACTTGTAAATTTCACAGCCCTCAGCCACCAATTGCACTCCGGATATGAACATTTAAAAGAAAAAACCATTACAAGAATTGATCACCTTTTTTAATCTAAAATCTTTTTTCAAGCAAGCAATTTTCAATGAATTTGCTAGTTCTTCCTTGTTCTTGAATGTCATTCCCTTATAAAAATCGGTATCATCATCTCGAACATTATTCACACGTGATGATTGAGAATAACATGGAATGTTGCTGCCAACAATAGGTGTAGAAAGATTGTTGCTCTCAAAGTCCGGCACTTCATCTTTTCTAATTTTATCATCATGATTATCATGTCATCATATAACATATCTTGTTGGTCTTCTTCTGGCATATGATCCTCCTCGATAGGATTTTCATCCACGTAGACTCTTATATGGGTGGCCTCATTGCTCCTCCCAAATAAACAAGCAAACTAGGTTGATCAATTATTTTAAAAGGTAAGACATTCTCATTATGAAAAAAAACTGGGAATGCAACTACTCATAACAAGATCTTTCGGTTGACAATTAAATCCAGATTTTTGAATGACTAAATTCACAAAATCATCATACAAAATATTACTTTCAACAGTCATCCCTACCGACCCTCCCCGTTTCTTACCATCCTTCCAACACCAAATGTATCGATTTTTCTTCTCGACCCATCACCACGACAATCAATCCCTACAAATAATACCAAAAATCAACTAGTACTAATGAAGAAATGTGTAAGTCATATGTTGCAACATATGAAAATTCTGTATCATTTGGAGGTGCAAGATAGGAGTTCAATTAAAAGAAAAATGAAAAAGTAGCACATGAAAATAATGACCTGATATTACAAAAGCTCGATAAAGTTACAACACAATTATAAGCATTTAGAGATGTATTGATATAGAAGCATGCCAAATAAGTACATAAATGTTTACTTATAAGAATACCTTCATTGGAACAAAATAACCTAAACAATGACTAATAAAATTGTTCATCCGATCACAAGGATCTTAGATAGAGCTTGTAAATTACACTCCCTTGCAATTCATAGGCCAATGATGGGGTTGAGATCAATCATTGTTTTTACAATTTGTCTATGTAGATCGAATTTTCTAAAGTTTTAGATACCGAATCCTCAAAGTATTGAAGCATAGCTCCCTAAAAAATGAAACAATTAGAAGATTAAAAGAATAATTGATAGCTCCATTAACACACTTCTAAAAGTTCCCTACATGAAATATGCACAAATAGTCCTCAAGCACC